CCTGGGACAGTTCTTCTAGGATGGAGGTTGGTGGGCCTCGCCCATCCTCTGGAAATCCCCTCCTGACTGAAGCAGTGCCTCTAGGTAGGTGCTGACCCACAACTCTGGCATAATACAGAGAAAGGTGGGCTCCCTTACTGTTGTGCTGAGACTACTAGAGAAGGGACCACTCTGGGTGTCCCCACGTGTATTGTAGGTGGCTGCCTTCCACAGACTCTCCACTTACCAGCCCTCCGTGTTGGGAAGGCATGAGCTGCCAGGGGAGAGAGTGGGAAGGGGAAAAAAAAAGATCCCAGTAAATAAAGCCACAGGAAGACTGCGGGGGCCAGTCAACCTGGTTATCAAAGGGGTAACCCTTTGTTACCGACAGTGTAGAGACCATTCCACATTCCTTGAAGAGGGTCCCTTTTCAGGACACAGGCTGGCGGCCTGAGCAGGGGCTCTGAAGGAGGAGGAGGTAGCTACCGGAAGGGGCGGGCTCCCCCACCAGGCAGATGGGACACTCCTTAAACCCACAGATCACTGACCTGGCTCCCTCCCTGCTCAAAGGTCCTGCTGTTGGTCCCAGCAACAGAACCTCGCCTCTGTCACACAATTGTAGTTCCTGCAGCTGGAGAGCGGGTTACCCACCTAACCCAAAATAGGCTCTCTCTGCTCACCTTAGCGTCCTTTCTGAGTTCCACGAAGACAAGATTGACCTCAGTAATATGACCCACTCATGAAATACCTGAATCCCCAGGAAGAGCAAGAGAGAGTTTCTGGCGAGTTCTCTCAGAGTGGGGGCGTGGGGAGGTGTCAACGTTCTAACACTACTTAATTGGGAGGAGTTTGGGAATCTTTGAGCCACTCCACTCAATGGCAATTCACTCACACAAAGAAAGACTCGATAATACATGAATTAACCCCAACAACAGCAACCGGGCCTGCAGCAACCCACTCAGCTAACATCTCTGGGAAGGAAGTCGATAGCATTGCCCTATCTCTAGGGCTTCCCCAGAGTCTGTCACCTGTCCAGCACACTAGGCTACAATGGAGAACCAAGTGTCCGTCCAGCCAGGGTAGCAAGGAGGTACTGCAGCTGCTCAGCTGCCGGCAGAAACAGATGTGGTCTCACCTGGCAAGCGAAGCACACTGGGTGCCGGTCCTCTCCAGCTAAGGAGAGCTCCCGGAATTCGCAGAGCATTGTGGGCTGGGATGTCCAAGCTTAGGGACCCAGCTGTCTTATGCCTCTCCTAGAGGAACCACAGAGCCTTCTGATCCAGTGCGGGAGATACTGCTTGTTCTACTGTTCTGCCCAAAGTATATTCCCACAGCCAGAAGGTCCAAGAAAATAAAACTGTTAAGGAAAGGGGGACATGTTTGACTTTAGCACTCTTTTTAGAATGTTTTTGCTCGTTGGATGAAAGTTAAATATTAGGAGTGACTTATCTTTCTCTTTTGTTCTAAAATTGGATGTTTGGGGTGTTGGGCAATTCCTTTGACTTCTGTGTGGCAGAAAAGAACAGAAACCACGGGCTAGAGCTTTTGAAAGGGAAGGATGTGAGGGTCTCCCAGGCTAGGAAACACCGGGGAGAGCTAGTATCTAAGCTCACAACAGAGGGTATTCCCAGTGCACTGGCCATTGTCTCAGCCTGGAATGACCTTTGCTTGCCATATGAAAATCTCTTCCAAGGAAAGCCTACTGGGCAAGTTTAATATGGCCAGGGCAGGAAGGGGTGCAGACAAACCCGTGTCTCTCTTTCAATTCATATTCACTGACAGGCTGCCTTACCTGAAGCAGGGTGGTGGTGGTCGTGGTGGTGATGGTGGGTGATAATAGTGATGATGCCTGGTGGTGATAATGGTGGTGATGATGGTGGGTGGAGGTGATGGTGTTGGTGATGGTGGTGATTGTGGTGGTGGTTATGGTGGGTGATGGTGGGTAGTGGTGGTGGTTATGGTGGGTGATGGTGGGTAGTGGTGGTGGTGGGTAGTGGTGGTGGTTGTAGTAGTGGTTATGGTGGGTGATGGTGAATAGTGGTGGTGGTGGTGGTCATGGTGGGTGCTGGTGATGGCGGTGGGTGGCAGTGATGGTTGTGGTGGTGGTGGGTAGTAGTGGTGGTGGTTTTGGTGGGTGATGGTGGTGGTGGCAGTGGCACTTAGAACCTACACAAGTCGCCATCTTCCAAAGACCAGAGAGGAGTGGAGATCCTCCCGAGGTCTCACAGCTATGCTCAGATCTCTAGCACTATGTCTGATCTTTGCCACACGCAGCAGTCTGTACTGTACAGACGTTAATTATTACTATGTCTGTTGGTGCCACCCTGGAAACATCCCCAGTACAAAACCAGCTATCAGGATCAAGGACTGAGAACACCCCGCCCTATAGGCACCACAAGCCAGAGCAGTCAGGCTCTGGGATTGCTACAATGCTGACCCACATTCCAGACTGCTTTCTCTGGGGGCACCTGGTTCCTCAGTCTTCCTAGTTATGGAGTACATTTTTCCCCAGAAGTTCTATTCTAGTTTCTCCGACTGACTGTAAAGGTCTCCATCCACGTTTGTCTTATAGTAAACACTTTCGGGGGGGGGGATCTCCATTTTTTAATGTTGCAACTGACATTCTGTAACTCAATTGGAAAGGTGTCCATTCAAAATATGAACAAAGGTTAGGCATCAAATATGTCTCTTCCCCACTCCTCCCCTCATTAAATACCAACTTCTTTAAAGCCCAAGGCACAGAATAGTTTTTCTTAGGTTTTTTTTGTTTTTGTTTTTGTTTTTTGTTTTGTTTTAAACCATCCACAGTCCCCAGTTACAAAGGTGAGCGACTTGCCCAGAAATGGGCTCCTGATTTCCAGGCTGAGCCTTGGGCTGAGGTCCCTTTACAGGAACAGGGGGAACACTCCCCTGCTGGGCTCGGATGTTTTTGTAAGGGGCTGTAACTGTGGGGGAGGTGAGGAGCGACGCACCCCCCCCCAGTGTGTGTGTGTGTGTGTGTGTGTGTGTGTGTGTGTGTGTGTGTGTGTGTACCCCGTGGTGAACTGTCTGGTTACTGACTGGAGTGAAAAACACCCAGTCCTCGAATCTGTGGTTCTTTTTCAGTCTCAATCTTTTTCCCTTGACGAATTCGTAAGTAAAATATTAATTGTTCCCACCAAATGCAAACCAGCTATCCCTGCGCCCTCCTGGTGTTTGCTGTGTCTGCCCGACTGAGCGAGCACCTTGCGGTGCCTGCAGCGCGGACTGGTCTCCCGCATGCTGCGCACCAGAGGGGAAGGAACAAGGGGCAGCGCAAGTCACAGGCTTTCTCCCAGACAAGGAGAAAGGGAACAGCGAGCCATCTCTCTGCAGCACCGGTCGCCCGCCACCGGCCTCGGGACTTGGGGAGGGGAGGGGTCTTTAACACTGGGCTTCCTAGAAAGGGCCCTCCGGTGCGGCAACGGTTCTTTCCCAACTCCCCCTCTTCCTGCGTCTTGTGTCCAGCCCTGGCCTTCAGGCTGCCAGTGCTTCAGCGTCTTTGGAAGAGTCCTTGAGTAGCCCTCTCTGGTCACCTCACCTCCACCTCCTTCCAAAGGGACGCCAGCAACTGCCCAACCCGTGCCCTTTCCCGCAGGGGTAAAAGATTCGGGATAAGCTCTTGATGGTTGAAATGCAGTTATGTCACTAGTCAGACCCGGTCTTTCCAGAGAAGCACAGATTGCATCTATGATTCTAAAAATAGCCCTGGGAATCTTGTCCCGTTGGATTCTCTGCATCTTCGGTTTAGCAAGTTTACATAAAGAGGGTGGATTCTGCATTTTAGGGCCCTTATCTAAGGGTTGGGTTTACCCCAGGGCTACGGGGAATGCTTTGAGTGTAGTGGATTTTGAGTCTTTGGCCTGGTGCTCCCGTCCCCCAGGTGGCCCACCATAGGATGCTGATGGCAGGTGCCTTATAAGGCATCCACTCCCCCATCCCCAGTTTCTCTTGCCCACATTGCTCAGGGACAGTGATGAGGTGACAGAAGAGGTAACAGGTTCCTTTTCTTTGATTCTGAGTGCTCCAGGAGGGGGTTATTTCTGTGAACCATCCACCCCCAGAACCCAAAGTTCTGGAAAAAGGGGAGAGTACATTTTGTTTTATTTGGTCCTTTGCTAATGGAAATCAACTCTGCTTCCACCTGTCTTGTGGTGGAAAGTCATGTACAGCTTTGTTTTTTTCTTGACCAAAAGAAGCCTAAGTAGTATTCCTAGGACTCATTAACTCCCCTTCCCTTTCTCTCTGGTGGGGGGATGTTGTGATGGTCTCTCCTGCTGGCGATGTTGCTTCTTCAGACACCACAGCAGGCTGACTGACTCTGGATCTCCAGGTTCCCAAATCTGACTTGTTTTTATAGATTTCTATCGGCATCATCCCTACCCCCATATTACCAGCACTATGGGATACCATCTTCATCCAGGGCTTCACAACACCCAGGGCTGTCCAATGAGTATTGCTATTTTAATATTGGATGGCTTGCAGGGCTGTCCAGTCCACCACCAAAGGCTGACCTTTTGGAGGGACAAGGGTGACACTGGCTCCTGACCACCAAAACTTTCCAACTTGGGCACACACACACACACACACACACACACACACACACACACACAGGACTCTGCAGGGCATCTTCCCCAAGTTGGTAGTTGAGTAGAAGAACTCAACTAGATGCTAGATGATCACCAGGGACCAAAACCAATGTTTGAATTCCCCCCCTCCCAACTTCAGCTTTCATGGGTGTCTCAGAGTGAGACAGTCGCTTCTGCTCACGTGTAAATGTCAGGTAAATCAAATGAAGTGGGAAAAGAAAGATCGCTATGGAATGCAAGACTCCTCTTTCAGTGCCTTTTGCATTGCCTGTTCCTGTTTATCAGGAAAGAACGGGGGCCCCCGCCCCCCCGGGATGGGAGCTTTCAATCCGCTAAAGCTGTAGTGTCGGTAGACCGCAAGGCGAATGGAGAAATAAATGAGGCAGCGATCTGGATAAATCCGGGGCAAAGCGCTAAACTCTCTAGAATTTTGATATATTTTGGCGACGCGTGTTCATGTGGATGAGTGCACAAAGGATGCATTCATTGCTCGTGTGATTGCTTCAATTCTCCACTTCCTTTGTGTGGGTGAGAGGATTGTCCTCCCAGGCCGGAGACAACCTCCGGCGAAGGGTGTGCTGCGCCAAGTCCCCTCCGTGGCGCATCCTGCTGGCGTTCGGATCCCTAGCCCCGCAGCGGTTCCACCTTGGCGGCATCGGCGCCCAGCAAATCCGCCAGGCGCAAGTGGCAGATCTTCTTCACCTCGCCCAGGGCGGTGCGCAGCTCGGACTCAGGCTGGCAACGAAGCCGGCGGGCTAGCTCCTGGGGCACCTCGGCGCGGTCGCTCAGGCGCGCAGCTAGCACGAACGGAAAACCGAAGCGCTCGCGGTACTGCGCGTTGAGCTTCTGCAGCCGCAGCCGCAGCCGGTCGTCTGCGTCTAGGCTGGTGAGGCCCGCTTGGCTCTGTTCCCGCAGCGACTCGGCGGTGAGCGTGCCCTGCTGCAGATCTCGGCCAGCTAGATCCGGGTGACAGCGTAGGATGCCCTCCTGGCCTGCGGAGAAGCACAGACACGCACCAGCGGAGGGTTACTCCCTGCGCTTCAGAAAGCCAAACTGGGTGCCTGGGTAGTGGTGTCCCTCTCCAATAACGGGATGCGGGTCCCTCCGTCCCCCGCCAGGACCTGGGGGCGGGGCGCGAGTAACAGGTTTGGCCTTTCAGACCTAGGGGGATCCTGGACAGGAGGGGGGGCGGGGAGAGGGAGGAAGGGAAGAAGGGAGGGGGGGGAAGGGAGGGAGGTCGGGAGGGAGGGAGAGGGAGAGAGAAAGAGAGAGAGAGAGAGAGCAGTCGGAGAGGCTGGGAATTTACGACCTGCTCTGGGAGAGTTGGGAAGCGATAAGAAGTCCTAGCTACTCCTATCTTTTCAAAGTCCTTTGCTCTCAGGGGGGCTTTGATGTTGAAAGGGGGCCGGATGCGAAGGCCTGAAGACTTCCGCCTAAAGTCCTGGAATGGGTTTCGTTCTGACTCAAAGAAGAACAGACAGGAGCGGAGTGGGTCCGTGAGGCTTTACAAATAAATACCTAGATTTTGTGAACTCTAAGTGTGAGTTCTGGGTCTCTGGGATGAAACAGTCAATGAGCCTTGCGAGCTAACCGAAAAGAAACCCATTTCACCGAAATCCTTCCGCTCTTGATGAAAGCGGCTTGCCTTTTTATTATTGTTTTTGTTTTCCTTCTGTTTGTTTTGTTTCTTTAATTATAATCACCCACTCTGGGGTTATGTTGTTACTCCTGCTCTGTCTGACTTCAGATCCCAAAAGAGCCCGCGTGGGCGAAAGCTCTTGTTCTTCTATGCCTCACGCTTTGGGAAAGTCTTGCTGTGACGCCAGGGGTTCCAATTCAAGGGGACTCCCGGCCGGCAGTCCTGGCAGGTCGCGTCGTTTAAACACTGTAAAGAACGCGAATTGAAATTCCCTGGCTAGACAAGATCTCAAATGTGCCCTGAAGGGCGGCCCTCCGTAAAAGAAGGGCAGTGACACCTAATTTACTGATTATGGAGAACTAAAGATAACTCATTTCCCCATACCCTGGCACCTAACGCACAAGCAGTTCATGTTCATAGCAAGTCCAGGAAAACGGAACTTTGAGATGCCTTTCTACCCCATCTCCAGAGAGCAGGTAGGAGTCTATCTCCCTTTGGCAGTGGGAATAGGTGCGGCTTTGTTGGAAATGGGAAATAATTAAAACACCCTTTGGTAAGTTGTATCTCAATACTCAAAGAGGAAAACCCCCTTTAAATATGGTGCAGCCTCCCCTTCCCCAAAAGTTTTCCCCCACCCCGCCCCCATAACAGGATGGAAAGTAGAGCCTGCACCAAAGCAAATCCGTGGCCTGTGTTCTATATACGCAACTCCAGCTCCAGTGGATCCGACCATTTCTTCTGGCCTCCTTGGGCACCGCGGCGCACAAACGAGTGTCATACAATCACACCCGCATAAATAAAAATTAAATCCATTTTAGAAAAGAATATTGAGCAAAGGCTCAGAAAACAAACGTTAGTTCATCTGCCCAAGGTCACTGAGCTGCGCACCTGTACACAGTTCGCTCTAAGCCCACAGGCCGCTTTAATGACTTGCCTGTTGTCTCTGCAAGGCTAAGAGGAGTTGGTCACTACTTCCATTCTCCCCCCTTCCCCCCCCCCCCGCCGTCATGGGCACCCTAATTCTAGACCACCACGCTCAGAAGTAGTTCTCTCTTCTGCAGCCCAGAGAGCTTTCCGTGTGGTGCGAAAATGTGTGTGTTAAATTTCCCACCTGGGATGCCAGTGACTGGCGGTTGCCACGCCACTCAGGACAGGTTCTCCCCACATCCATCCAATCCCAGGATGGGCAGACAGCCTTGGCTGCTCCAGGGGAGCTGCAGGGGTGTCGGGCACATTTATGCTACTAAAAGACTGCGCACCCACATCGATCCTCTCTTGTTCAGAGTTGAAACAAGCAGCCTCTGGGCCCCCTTGCCCAGGAGGATCCAATTGCTTTACTGCGTGTGCTCCCGGGTCAGTTCAAGCTGCCATTGAAGCAGTTATTGGTGGGCTTCACGGGAGTGGGAAGTCTCCCCCCACCTCAGGAACCTGCTGTTGCGCATGCGTGGAGCGGGTGCGGGCTGCCTAGCAGCGCCACCCACCCCCCCAAACCTTCTTGCCCTTACACCTCACTTCTCACTCCTAGGTTTATCTTCCCCTCTTGAAAGCATCGTCTGGGTTAATGTTTGCCTAGGAGTGAGATGTGTTTTCCACTCTTGCAGAGAAGACAAGAAGGGGGAAGAGAAAAGAGGCCTAGAATAGAATGGAGCAAAGGGCAGAAGAAAATTACGCTAAATTAGCGGAACCGAAATTTACACACACACACACACACACACACACACACACACACACACACGCGCGCGCGCGCGCGCGCGCCTTTCAGCAACACAGACAAGAAAGAACTGGAATGGTAGCCTACAGAAATAAAGCTGGCTGGCTTGCCCAGTCACGGTCCCCACCTTAGGTGCTCCAAATCACTGGTCCCTTGGGTACTGCAGAGGCTAGCGCCCACGGATATACAGCAAGAGCCTTCGCTAGTTCCCATGGGCACTGTATCTCCTTCAAGGTATCCACAGCTGCGGCCATTAATCCCAATAGGAGGCTGGCAACTGGAAGTCAGCTCGCATTCCTGAGTCTCCCCTACATGGGTGGCCCAGTGCCCGGCAGTCTCTCGCACCGCACTCTCATTTGTTTCATAACATCCCATGGAAACTCTGATTTTCCCAGCTGTGTCACTGGGTGTCAGGAAGAGGCGAGGAGCAGGTAGGTATTGCTTACTGGGAACAGAGGGCAATGGCACCAAGAAGACTTGCTGCGAGAGTCCAGAGAAGAGCAGAGCTGACAACAGGACCCTCTGAGCAAGGGGCAACTGCCTAGAAGCCCACTGTGGCCCTTCTGTACCCCTCTGTCTACACCAGTCATGGGCCCCCACTCCTGGCACAAGGGATGGTCTTGTGTCATCTAGTAAAGACCAGTTTCTTCACCAGTGTTCTTACCCTCCCAGAGTTATTTTAAAAGGAGGCCTTTTATTTATTTATTTATAGTATGGTTTTTTAACTTTATTTAACTTTATTTCATGTGCATTGGTATAACGATGTCAGATTCTCTTGAACTGAAGTTACAGACAGCTGCGAGCTGCCATGTGGGTGCTGGGAATTGAACCCAGGTCCTCCGGAGGAGCAGTCAGTGCTCTTAACCACTGAGCCATCTTACCAGCCCCCAAAGGAGACCTTTTAAAAGGAGGCCTTTTAAAAAATTTATTTTTAAATTTTCTTGTGTTTACACACAAGTGTGTGCACAGAAGCATGCACACTTGCCTGCTATTGAGGCATCCAATCCCCTGGAGCTGGAGTTACAGAGGATTGGTTGTGAGTTCTGGTGTGGGTGCTGGGAATGGACAGAACTCAGGTCCTCTGCAAGAGCAGTATTTGCTCTTAATCTCGGAGCCACTCTCTAGCCACAGTGTTCTTTTGGTGACAGAGTCTCATCTAGCCAAGGCAATGCCCTTGTTTCTCTGGTCTTCCTCCCAAGTGCTGGAATTACACGTATGCACTACCCACACCGAGTTTCACATGTGGTTTCTTTGTTTTGAATTGTGTGTGTGTGTGTGTGTGTGTGTGTGTGTGACATACAAGTGGGTGCCATGCACACACCCAACCGCTTCTCTCTTGTTCAGAGTTTCAAGGAGGCCTCTAGGTCCCCTTGCCCCAGGGGCTCCAGTGGCTTTACTGCGCATGCTCAGGGGTCAGTCCACAGCGCTTCCTCCGGTGGTTTATTTGTTTTTAGTTTGTGTGTGTGTGTGTGTGTGTGTGTGTGTACGTGCGCGCGCGCACGCGACTCGGCATACTTGTGGATGCCCTTGCAGGCAAGAGACATCTGAACCCATGGAACTAGATTTTCAGGTGGTTTTGAGCCACTCGGGGTGCTGGGAACTGAACTGGGATCCCTTGCTAGTGCAGTAAGCGTTCTTAATCACTGAGCCATTTCTTCAGCTCCTGGTTTTGGTGTCTTGAGTTTACTTGTGACTTTCCTTCTCAGATGTCACATCTACAACATCATGCATGCTTTCTACACCCTCCCCATTCCGCAGTGGGGAGCCACTGAGAACCAGGCTTCCCAAAGGCAGAGCAAGAGCCCCCATGGAGCTCCGGGCTTCCCTCCAAGCCGTTTTTTTCTTATTTCTCTGACCTTCTCACTTCCGCGCATCTCCTTCCAGGTCACTCTATCAAGTCTCCGACCCCTCACACAAACCAGTCTGCCCTCATCTGAGTCAATTAAGGACAGCAGTCTAGCCTGAGCCCATGGGCCATGCCCTGGCATCGTCCCTCCAACCTTTCCCAAGCAGGTCATTTGGCCCTGACTTGCTTCATGTGCCTGTCCTTGTGTGGCTCAGCCCAGATGTTCGCACTAAAAGGAGTGGGACTCGCATCTCTCCCTTTCTTATTTACAAAGTGTTCTTGTCTAGGGGTTTTCTTTTGTTCTGTTAAATTTTTCTTGTAGTCCAGGCTGGCTGCAGACTCCATACATGGCTGAGGATAACCTTCCTGAGTCCATCTCCCAAGTGCTGGGCATACAGCCTTTGTGCCTGATTGTGCTTTGTCCTGGGAGCCAAACCCAAGGCTTCCACATCCTAGACAACCTCTCAACCAGCCATCCAAACTTTCATCCGGTTCATGTTTAAATCTTTCTAGTCTCATGCCAGGGGTTACGCTCAGGCTCCCCTGCTAGTTAAGCACCCCCCCCCCACACACACACACAGTCAGTCACGCAGTTTTAAGTGCAATAAGCTCTTTCATGGCCCCGGTCTAGTTTGTCCTTAGTTCCACCGTGTTCCTTTCTCTTATCCAGTAGCACACACAGCACCTTCATTTGAATTCTTATTAGGACCAGAACTAACAAGATCCCGGTTTTTTTTTTCTTTTTGTCTTCTGTACCCCAGAAAATTATAGCACCTCCACACAGCCACTCAGACAAGGTACTCAGGGGTTATCTTTAGCATTTATTGATTTTGATCTCCATCTGGCAAACCCACCTACCTAAATCTTGTTGACTTTAGCTCTCTCTCCTGGCCAGTCAGCAGCTTCTCACCATCCCCACTACCCCAACCACAGTACAAACAACCTGTATTGGTATGGCAAAGATAGAAGTGTATGTATGTGTGTGTGTGTGTGTGTGTGTGTGTGTGTGTGTGTCTTTATCTCTAGCACAGTGGAGGGTGCTAGAGACAAAGACAGAGAGAGAGGAGAGAGGGGAGAGAGAGAAGGGGCGAGAGAGAGAGAGAGAGAGAGAGAGAGAGAGAGAGAGAGAGAGAGAGACCTAGGAGCTCCTGTGGTTTCAACCTCCCTTCCTTTCCTTTAACCACAGCTGCCTCCTATGCTTAGGACTGTGAGAGTTGATAAGTTAGCCATACTAAATTAGCAGGTGAGGCTCGGGCCCAATAGTAATCCTCTACTGCCATCTAGTGGCCACTATACATCATAGTTTAACTTAAAGGAGAGGGCAATCTCACTTGTACTCTAAAAAATCAGTTTTCTGTCAAAGGTAGAGAGTTTTTTCTCTTTCTCTTTCTTTTTCTTTCTTTTTCTCTTTATTTCTTTTCCCCTTCCTTCCTTCCTTCCTTCCTTCCTTCCTTCCTTCCTCCCTCCCTTCCTTTTAAAAGATAACCCATGAGGATGGAGAGATGGTCCAGAAGTTAAGAGCACTGGCTGCTCTTCCAGAGGACCTGGGTTCAATTCCAGAGCACCCAGCACCCACATGGCAGCTAACAACTGTCTGTAACTCCAAGATCTGACACCCTCACACAGAAGTACATGCAGGCAAAACATCAAATGAGTATAAAACAAAAATAAATTATTTTAAAAGCATAATACAAACAAATCCTTCTCTAGGATTAACATTGTGTTTCATCCACACACCCCACCCCCACCCCCATGATACTTCATATTCATCACTTTGGCACAAACTAACTCGTTATCTGTGAAGAGAAAACCTCAATCAAAGAATTACTTCCATTAGATCAGTCTGTGGCCATGTCTGCAGGGCACTTGCTCTTTCTTTTCTTCCCATTTCTTCTTTGGTTTTTCAAGATGGGGTTTCTCTTTGTAGCCCTGACTGTCCAGGAACTCGCTGTAGACCAGGCTGGCCTCAAACTCACAGAGATCGTCCTGCTTCTGTCTTCTGGGATTAAAGGTATGCACCACTACTGCCTGGCTTGTAGGGCATTTTCTTAATTGTTAATGGATGAGGGAGGGTCCAGCCCACTGTGGGTGGTGCCCTCCGTAGGCAGCTGGACTTGAACTGGATAAGAAAGGAAGCAGAGAGGACCAGAGACAGCAAGCTCAGAAACAGTTCCTCCGTGGTCTCTGCTTCAGTTTCTGCCTCCAGTTTCCTGCCTTGAGCTCCTTGCCCTGAATTCCACAAGGACTGTGATGCGGGAAGTGTAATTCATACAAACACTTTCGATCCCAAAATTGTTACAGCAACAGAGACATCAAGTGAGGCACCCCCTTTAGGTCGTTTCTACCCTTAAACTGCAAAGATTCTATTACCCAGTTTGTTCCTTGTTGTCCAAAGGCAAAAGACTGCACGGGGGTATGAGAACTTGAGTCCCCAACACCCCGGACAAAAGCCTTGCTTGGCTGCCTATTCCAGTGTTGAAGGCGGGTACAGGCAGATTCTTCCAAGGCTTGCAGGTCATTCTGGCTAAAACAAACTTTGGGTTCAGTGAGAGACCCTGTCTCAAAGGAAAAAGCCGAGTGGAAGAGGAAGACCCCTGAAGTTCTCCTGTATGTGTGCACCCACCCCACACGTGTGCACACAGACATGTACCACACACAGCACGTGTGCATGCATGTGTGAGTGCATACATGCACACGCACAAGCGTGCGTGCACACACACACTTGCACACCTTTCTAATTTTGTTTTTAGGTTATCTAGAAAATCCTCCAGAAGTCGTGGGATTGACTTCTAGTTTCGTCATTTTCTTCAAAAACCTCTAGATTGGGGTCAAGAGATGGCTCCGTGGTTAAGAGCACTGGCTACCCTCGCAGAGGACCTGGGTTCAGTTCCCAGCACCCACATCAGGTGGTTCACAACGGCCCATAACTCCAGTTCCGGGGCTCTGATACCTCTCTGACCTCCACAGACACCTGCATTCACAAGTCGCACAGAGATACACTCTGTCACACGCATAGTTAGAGAAGGAAATCTTAAAAATCATGTTGGATTCATTATTTTAAAAATGGAGCCTTAAAAGACATTGAGTTACTAGTCGTTGTTGTTGGTTTTCCTTTGATAGAAACAACGTGGAAGGGTTGAATGCAGCTTAGTGAGTACTGGGATTATGGGCTAGGGCCACCATGCGTTCTTGATGGCCACCGAGGCCAGAAGAGGACATCAGGTTTTTCCATTCAGAGGCAAAACTGTGACAGCTGTGTGGGTGCTGAGCCTCGGTCTCCAGGCCCCTGGGAGAGCAGCCAGTGCTCTTACCTGCTGAGTACTCTCCAGCCCTCGGCTTGATTTTGTAACATTACCCCCATTCTTCCTAGGTAAGTTCTCTTATGAGGACGTCCAGGTGAGGGTGGGAAATCACTGGCCGTCGCATTGTCCTGAAGGCAGCAGTGTGTGCCTGTCCCTTTGTGAGCCCACAGGGTCACCCTCCTGCCTGAAGTCCCCAAAAGCATGTCAGACTTATTCTGGAATCCAAATAGCCTGTGAGCAAGGACTTCATGCCTTTGGCCTCTGTGCCTTTCGGGCACCAGTCTGAACCCCTACTTTCTCTTCTCCCAACCTCACAGCCCCAAATGCTTCAGGGCTTTCTCTCTCCTAGGAACACACCACTTGCTTAAGCGTCTCTTCTTTCCCCCAAAGAACCTTGGATCTGAGTGCTTGTACTTTCCTTGTCTGTTCCAAACTGGCTTTCTCTTGTGAAGGAGCCAGTTTTGCATTCCCCTTGGGGTCCCTGAGATATATTCGCTGTCCTCTCTCTTGCACCCAGAGCACTGCCAAGTCGGACCCTGGGTGGCTGAAAGGGGCTAGCCTCAGACTGTCCTTTGGCCTCTAACACACCAAGGCCTTTACCCCGTTCCGGCTCGTGACCTTCAGGCTCCAATGTTCGCCATGCTGTCTTACCGGACACACTCTTAGCACTTTAAAAGGCTGACCCTTCCAATAAAACCAGCTAGATAACAGTAAGTATAAGCAACAGGGCTAAATCAATCTAAAATATTTTTCTATACTATGTTGAAAGTCGCTTTGTGTGCATGGCCTGAAGTCTTACCTGACCTTGGAAGAGCATCGATAAAATCGAAAAAGTGTTTTTCCAAGTCTTCCGAGCCAGAGAATGGACGCTGGGACCAAACAGCAGCTGCGACCAGAGGACATTTTTCAATGACGTTCCCAAACACATCCACAAATTCACTGAAGCCCATGGTGTTGACCTTCTCCATGTCCATGGCTGAGATTCTGCTCTCCTCCAGTGAGTGGCACCGACTCTTCCTCGCAGGCTTGTATTTGCTGATCAACACAAGCTCGCCTTGTGCAATACCAGCCCAGCCGGGTTAAATGCCTCTGGGAGGAGCCTGTGCAGAATGTTCCCGCAATGCGTAAACACAGGGTTCTGTTGGTGCTAGGGGATGATACATGTGCTGGGGACAGAACTCACATGTGCTAGGCAAGCATTCTACCACTGAGTTTTATTCCACCCAGGCTTCAGGCCCTGGACAGGAGAGCAGGGCCTTCTGCATAAGGAAAGTTCCCGAGCAAGTTTGGCCATCGTCAGAGCCAGCAGAGGGGGTGGGACCTCCTGAAACTGGAGTCACAGGTGATCGTGGATCAGCACGTGGATACTGGGAATGGAACCAGGGTTGTTCCCGGGCAAGCTTTTCCTGGGAATTCAGGCAGGTCACAGGTCCACCTCCTTGGAAGCTGATTTCTCTTTTTTCCTTGCTGCTGCTCTAGAACAATGACTCTCCACCTTGCTAATGCTGAGACCTTCCAATACAGTTTCTCATGTTGTGGCGACCCGCAACCAGAGAATTTGTATCATTGCTACTTCGTAACTGTGATTTTGCTACTGTTATAAATTGCAGTGTGAATATCTGATAGGCAAGATATCTGGTCTGCGACCCCTGAGAAAGGGTCATTTGACCCACATGTCGAGAACCGCTGCTCTAGAGGCTAGGTACCGTGCTTTAATCTTTGTTTGTACCCCAGATGTTCAACACAACAGATCATTAGTGCATATGAAACAGGGTGAGGTGTCTCAGGGGGAGTTCCGCCTCCTTGTGTGTTATTTTTTTTTCCTTTTTTTTTAAAAAAAAGATTTTTTAATTTACTTGTTTATTTTTGTTTTATAGAGGCGGAACTTCACTGTGTAGCCCTGGCTGTCCTGGAACTCACTCTGTAGACCAGGCTGGCCTCGAACTCGCTGAGATCCACCTGCCTCTGTCTCCCAAGTGCTGTGATTAAAGGTGTGCGTCCCCACTGTCCGGCCTCATTTTTATTTTTTAAATTAGGTGTATTCTATGTGTGTACACACGTGAGTGTCGGTACCTACGTAAGAGGGTGTCAAATCTGCCTCCAGGTTCCGCCAGTTTCAATTCTTTCAATGATAACCTCTCCCAGGTTGTTTTGGTTAAGTGCTTTTCCACAGGAGCAGTGAAGCAAACAGACGACAGTGAGGCCAAAGAGTTCAGCTAAGGCTATTACCAGGAGAATCCTTCACGGAAAAAGAGCATAGGAAAGATTAGGAAGGAATACCGGAGACTGCTGGGTTGGGGCCCCAGACAGGAAGGCACCTACTATCGAGGGTGTGAGGATGAGAAGAAGGGGTACAGGAGGCTCTGATCTCAGGGGGACCTCAGTAAGTGTTGAACTAGGGGCAGCACAAGAATCTCTCGTTACCGTGAATCCAAAAACGATGCACCCTGGGTAAATTATCTCCAAAGACTTTCCTTTCGCTTAGTATTTGTCTTTCCAGGAACCAAGGGGCGGTAACTAGTCAGGCCTGGTGTTTGGGACTCCGTTTAAGAAACGGTGGTGCTCGGGCGCCATCTGCTGGCACAATCGCCGTAAAGTACTTCTGGATGTTAAGGAGGGTGAGACCTTGACAGACGCTGGGGCCATTTGTTGATATCAAATGGGTGCTGCTTCGCTGTCCTGCCTACAAGCACGTGTCCTGGTCCTCCCTGGCTCTTAAATTCTTTCTACAACCACGTTCCTGGTGCCTCCTGTGGCTTGGGTGTAGGAATTGCATTGTGTGCGCACCAGGGGCTACGCACACCAGGGTCACTTATTCTCTGCATTTTGACCAATTGTAAAGGCAACCAAGGGCTAAACACATGTACATATGAGCACCGCTAAATGGATTCTGTAGGGTGTGTGTGTGTGTGTGTGTGTGTGTGTGTGTGTGTGTGTGTGTGTG